GAGGGGGGTAAACGCATATTTTCAAAAGTGCAGGGGTCTAAGTGATAATACACGAAACCTCGAGGGAGGTCAATGATAATTTCCCTAGATAAAATTTTGGAAGTGCACGGGGTCCCGGGACCCCGTGGGACCCTTAGAGGGTCCGCCGTTGGTATCATCCATCATATTCCCACCTTCGCAGACTGAATCACTCATATGATCACCCCTATCGGATCGGTCTCCTCGGATTGGGCGTTTGCCAGCTGATCCAATTGATTCTGTATGGTATGAAAACCTAATGTCGTTTGCATAAACTTCTTGAGTGTTTCTTCCAGGTTGATGTGGGTTTGCTGCCATTCAGGCATCTTATGTTCCGCCTCCTTCAATTGATTATGTGGCTCATTACTCGGGAAGGATGTAGGAGTGGCTGAAACATTTGTGTTTGTAAATTGTGGGGAGGAAGAAGTGGAGTATGCAATTGCCCAGTAAAGATGGTCATTTGGAGGTTTAACGGGGAAAAAGGTTATATGGTGACATCCTCCACAAGAGGAGAAAATGTTATTCTTAGGCAAAAGATGATACACTTCTTCAAGAGTTTTAGTTTGGAGAAGATGTTCAAGAATGGAGCCTTGTTTTGTCCAAGGGTATTGTGGTGATGGATAATGATGAGAAGATTGAGATTGGAAGGGTTGCATGGATAAGAGAACTGAATATTTTGTGGTGTAGAAGAGTAATATTGGTGAGGAGTGTAATATTGATGATGAGGGTAAGGAGGGAAAGGTGTATATGGTGAATATTCCATGGAGATATGAGGGTAAGGAATTCCTCCAGGAATTGAACAGAATGGATTCATCTCATGCCTCTTAGAAAAATACCTGAAAGGTTAGCACAGAAAAAATCCTACAAAGAAATAAAAAAAGTAACTAAAAAAATATTGTTGAAATTAATTAACCATTAAAACCAACACCGTCCCCGGAACGGTGCCAAAAACTAATGTCAGTTTTCTCGCACTAAAATATGTAATAGTAAAGTGGTGAAAGTACGAGTATCGTCTCCACAGGGACGGACAAAAGGGAAATAAGAATTAACTAAATTCAACGATGAGAAAGAAATCAAATAAAAAGCAATGGTGCGAGATTTGAATGATTGGAAAATTAAAATGCGATTAAACGAATAAATAGCTTAGTTTCTCTCTAATTAACGACGAAGGGAACATGGATTGATTCCAGGATAACCATATTTCCGGCAGATCAGGCTTAATCGCATGAAATTAATTTAATCGAGTCTAGCTAATCATTACTGAGTTCTTACCGCTCTCGCGGCGTAGAGTACAATAATTTAGGAGACCAGGCTGATCTAGTGCTGGACTCGGGCCGGTTCGGGCCCGGTTCGGGCCTGGGCCCGGTTCGGGCCTGGGCCCGGTTCGGGCCTGGGCCCGGCCGGGCCTCGGGCCAGGAAAGGGAGGCCCGAGCCCGAACCGCCGGTGGTCGGTTCCGGTCCCGGTTCCGGGCCAAACCGGGCCGGGCCGGCCCACTTAATTTTTTTTTTTTTTTTTTGTTCTCCTATTTAATCCCCTACCCCTCCCCCTCAACCCCAAACCATCCCAAACCACCTCAAATGGCCCAAAATACCTAATCCAACCTAAAACTTAAAAAAAATTTCAAAAAAAAAAAAATTAAAATCCGGCCCGGACCGGGCCCGAACCGGCCGGGCCGGTTCACCAAAACCTGGGCCCGGGCCCGAACCGCCCAGCAGCCGGGCCGGGCCGAACCGAACCGGTGGACCCACCGGGCCCCGGGCCGGGCCGGGCCAAACAGTAACCGGGCCGGGCCGGTTCCGGGCCGGGCCGCCCGGCCCGAGTCCAGCACTAGGCTGATCTCTCATGCGACAAAATCCTAAGCTATTGTCAAGACGAGCGAGCTTACGACCCCTTAATCGCTACTAATATCAAAGCGAGTGTTTTTTTTTTTTGCAAAAGGGAAATATTATTAATAAAAGGAAAATAGTACAATGGAGAAAGGGAGAAAAGAAAAAAAAGGAAAAGCAATACAAAAAGAGAAAAGGTTTGAAAACTAAAAACAGAGCTAGTCCCATGGGAAGTCTCTGGATTGAGATCTTGTTCTCATGCTATGCCGCCGTTTGTGTGTGTGTGAATGTGTCTTAGAATAAACTAGATCTCTCTTAATTTATTCTACAAGCAATTGTAATTCTAGCCGCGGTTCTAGGTTACAAGAGATATCAATTAAATTATTCAAACACAAATTAAACGACATTCATGCAATTAATCCATCAAGAATCTAGTCATATATCATGATTAACCTCTTCATCAATCCCAAATCCCTAATTAAAACTACTCACAATTCATAATTGAAGAATCAACAGAATTATGATGAAAAGAATTAATTGTCATTAATTAAAAAAATGAAACTTACAAATAATCTCAGGGTCTTGAAAAACAACGCGGGAAAGTACGTAAAATTTTGTCCCTAGGCCTCTCTGTAAGCTCTGTCACCCCAAAATAGGGTTATGGAGGCCTTATTTATAGAAAATAGGAAACATTCAGCTCAAATTCGGATTTTCGGAGGCAGGCACGACGTGTCTGGCCTGCGTGCTCCCGAAGCATATGCGCGCGTTGCAATCAGGCATGGCGTGCCTCCCTGGTAGGCACGACCGTGCCTGACCTCAAGTAGCCAGGTCGTCATATATTCCTTCTGCTTTGAGTATTAGAAAAATGCAATTGAGTATCATGGTTTGTTCCCCCGCATCTATAATCAACTCCTATGTGAATCTAATGTAATAAGATACTTTTGAAAATATGTAATGATATAACATTTTAAAATAAGCATAAGACCAATGTCAAACGAACATACGTAACTTACAAAATGAGAATTGGAAGATTCAAAAGCTAATTTAAATTTTCTAATGTGTTCAAATATTCAATTGTGTATGTTCATTTTTTTAGTCATTATACTCATAAAGTCTTTTCTATAATATGTACATCTAGTGGATTCGTTATTAACTACTCCGTATTATGTATGCACATTTATTTTAAGTCATACTCATTTTAGTATAACATAAAACTCATGTTAGTTGTTAACACACAATATTTAATAAACTAATAAATATTCATCTTAAAATTAAAAATAGAAAAAAAACATTAATACCTAAAATATTTATAATGCACAAATTAAAAAATTTAGTTAGAAGGTTGATTTAAAAGTGAAAGAAAGAAAGTACGTCAAACAATAAATAATACTACTCCCTCTGTCCCAAATTGTTTTGCAAAGTCAACATTTTTTGGTTAACCAATAATAAAAGTCAAACCTTCTTATCGATAATAAATTCAATTTTTAATAATTAAAATTTACATATTCATAAACTACATTGAAATCTCTTCAAAGTTGTAAACTCCAAAATGGAATATAATTTAAAATTGACACCCTAATTAAGTGAACAAAACGAATCCGTTTGACCAAGAAAAGTCAAAATTGCAACTCAATTTAAGACGGATGTAGTATGATATTTTATATAATCATAAGAATTCAATAAAAAAAATAAAGTAAAAGATTGTTAAAGAAAAAGTAAAGAAACTAAAAGGGACAAGAAAAATAAACAAAAAGATAGAAGCAAAACAACTCAAAGTAACGAAATAAGAAAAGAAACGAAGAGAAGAAAAAATCGTAAAGCACTCCTGATGCGTAGGGAGCCGCAAGGGAGAAAAATATTAACGTAAGAAAAGGTTACATGGTGGGAGGCTGGGAGCACGATACGCACATTATAGCCTTGGATTTCAAATATATTACAAAAATACACGGCTGTACCATGCTCAAGGTACAGCCGGTTGTAGCATATAATTTACCATTACCCATTTATATTAACCGGGTATTCCCCGTTTCGTTCTCGTTACCCAATCAACACGGGGTGAAGTTAGATTGTCATCCTAATTAAGACACGAAATTCACCGAAACATGGAGTAGGACGTGGTTTTGAATCCCAGCTGGTTTTGAGAAGCAAGATGGGCAGGCATGACAACTGAAAAACAACACTGAACGCTGATCCGAGGGATATTTTGGACTTTGCCAAATTACAATTCATCTGAAGCACTGTTCAGCTTTTTTGAGCCGGGAATAACTTTTTCTAAGCTTCCGTATGACCACCTAAAAAGCAGATGTAGATGCTAATGGCAGGAAAACAAGTGACAAACAGTTTCAACAAAACCGGACAATGGAATCAGCTGAATATTGTACCATCATATCAATCTAATGGTTTGGTAATTGGTACCTCACAAAAGGTGAGCATTTTAATTTCTAAGCAGTGGGATGTCCACATATGCACAACTAGTGGCAGCTGGCTTAAAATTGTACTCCGTATATATTGACACTGTTCCCATTTCTTTACACGACAGAGACTTATATATGCATATGAATCACTTCATTCGAAGGGAAAGTTTGGCACATTTCCTCCTTGGATATGGATGAGAGGCAGCTAAATCATGAACCTGGTGTAGAACATGCTGTGGTATTACTGGTATGGAGCACTGTTTACCCTTTCGTGATGGCCTCCCCTGTTATAAAGTAGCATATGAGAGATATCACCGTTGGAAACTGAAAGGACATTTGGTTACACATATGTACTCCAGCCGTCCCAAGATGAAACGGGCTATCCCGAGCCAGGTCCATTTCAAATTTGACGAAAAAAATATTTTATGCGTAAAAAAACTACAGTATAAACACAAAATTGCAGTACGCAAATTTATATAAGAAAGTTCTTTTTTACCATGAACCCCAATATTCTCCTAGCTGAGGAGTTCCATTTGAGTTTGGCACGGGTTTTAAAAAATAAATGATATAATTCTTGTTTTAAAATTGTAACCTACAGAGTATAAAAGAATGTCGACAAAATGTGAATATATTTTTATATTTTGGGGTAGCCAAAAAAAAGAAAGTGAGTTACAAATTGGGGAGACAAATGGAGTATAAATAGAGAGAAAACATACCCTCATCTTTTGTGAACTTCCATGGCTTGCCCTCATAAGATTTCTCCACTTGTCCTTGCAGAAGAAAGGCAGTACTTGGTTGGAAATTAAGTAGCAGTAATAACACAAAATAATGAAAAAAGTATGACTAAAATAAGAACAATGTAAAAAAATATGACTTTTAATACACATTGACTAGTACTTCTGAAGAAACTGGAGTGACTATAACAGTATTTTGCTTTCGTCATATTTTTGTACAAGAATTCTGTTTTCATATTATTATAGGAAAAAAAACAATATGAACAAAGCTTGTTTATTATACCTTCAGGTCTGAAGGACTGCGATGAGGCGATGCGTGGAAGAAGAACCTCTTTATGTCAACCCATTTTCCAACACCGAACTTTGATACGCCTTCAACCAAATTTGTTACTTCTGTAATTGACCAGAAGTTGTGGTTCCTTCTTTTTTGCTTGATGTTAATCCTCGTGGTCTTCTTTTGTTTATTTTCAGATTCATCTGTGGCTTCCGCTGACTCCCCGACTGAATAAGTATCATCATCTTCCTCTGATTCAAATAAAGAATTGCCAGAGACATTGCTATACCTGTCGCGTCTTTTATTCCTGCCATTCACCCTTTTGTGTCCCTGAAATCAAAACAACACATGCAAATGCCAAGATTTAACATGCTAAAGCACCCCTAAAGGAGATCTGCTGTAAAGCTTGGTTGCCACTTTTATTTTTGCATGAGTTTATAATGTTAACTACTACGTATTTTAACATTACATTGAAGTTTATTTAATTGAAGTATCCTCTTCACTATTTCTATAATGAAGTGTTAGGATCAAGTTCAATTGTAAATGAAAGTTCTTCTCTTCTTTAAATGCCACAACAGCATGTTGGACATAAGCAGCTGACCTGGCAACATATGGCACCTATCACCAATTAGTAAGAAGAAACTTCTTCCTTTCCGAAATAATATTCATACCATCTTTTTTTGTCTGTCTATAAACAAAGACCTAATTTTTATTCGGAAGGACTTTGTAATTGAACTTTACACCCCATTTTTAAAATCCTTTGAATTGGTACCCGAGCCCCACGAGTGGTGCACAACTTCAAATATTTGATCTAATTATGCAGCATTGCAGTGCAAAGTTTAAGAAATAGCCCACTTTAGGGGCTTGGGGGTGTGAACACAAAGGATCTAAAAATGGGATGAAAGTCCAAATTTAAAATAAACAAAAAGTGCAAATTGAGACTTTTCCTTCTTTATTGGGTAAAAGAAGTCAGAGGTTGGAAGTCAAAAGGAAAAAATTGATTCATTGAGAACCATGTCAAGTCAAAGTGTGAACATTAAGGGGCTGAGGGGAGTACTACTTACATAACAGGTTCTTGCGCATACAAGTGATACAACCAATTTATTGCAAAAAAACAAGTATATTGACATTATTACACAAGGATAGTTTCATTCAAATGAAGGTGTGCAGATCGCCTTTGCCATGAAAAGGAGGACTGAGGGAGAGAAATGGAATTATGACATAGAGGACAATGATGGGAAGATTGATAATTGTTTTGCAACTGCATATTAGCTCACCTCAACCCTGATAGATTCGTCTTCAACACAATGAAGATGAAGAGGAATTCTGTTGCAACTTCGAAAATGATTGTTTCTGAAAGCTTTTGGTTTTGACCAACCATCATGCAAAATGTTACCTTTTGGGAGCAATTTTGAAATTTCAGATTTCCTCATATCAAGTTCGGAATTTCGTCCAAGCATGAAGCACAAGCTTTGGAAAGAGTCAAAAGTAGAGACTTTTCTTTTCATATTCACACGTTTCACCCTTTGCTTTCTTTTAAACTTGAATATACTCGAATAGGGGGTAGATGCTCTAAGGAGGTCCTCATCAGCTGTGGGTGATATTACCACACCTATATTTTCATTCGTTGGTATAGACACCCTTAATACCTCATCAGCTGTGGGTGATATTTCCTCACCCGTGTTTTCAGTTGTTGGTATAGACTCCCTTAACACCTCATCAGAAGCACCACAACTTCCGTCGAAATCAACAGAGCTGTGATCAAAGTTTGTTTTACCGCCATGTACTTCATTGTTCATAATAACATGAAGGTTCTGAGCATTTTCATCAAGCATAATACCTAAGAAGGGAAATATATGAACAACTCTTATTCGAGTAAACAAAGGACTGATGAAGTGATGATGTTCATGAATTATCTAATTTAAACAGTAACTGCCATCTGATGAACATTGTCAGCTTACCCAGCAAGTAGTTTTCACATGCAACAAAGTCACTATTTCCTTCCCAAGGCACCCTTTCACATTTTCCAAGGGGGTAAAAGAGACTGTCATTTTCAGTGATACTGGAGCATACCTGTTCTACAGTATTACTATCTTCAGTAAAACTTGAATGCAGTACCTCTGCGTGAAACCATAAAAACCCATTGTAACCATAATTACACAAAAATAAAAACAATTTAGAAAGGATGTGTGGAATAAGTGGTTGTTATTGTTTTATATGATTATATCTCAAAGTAGGAAATATTTCTTACCATCTATGCCACAGCATTTTGGTTCTTCTAGTAGACATTGCAGCCCCATGGCTTCTTCTTCCAAACCTGAAAAGACTGGTCCTACTTCTGCAAACTAGATTAAAAAACATAAAACATACGAGGTGGCTGAGAAAACCATAAACTTTGTGGAAATGACAGTTTTCTCCTTCATGAAATGATCAAGGGTAACCAAAAAGTAAAGTGAAATCGAGTTTCTTGAAGTTGAGTACCAATGGAGAGTCCAACATATGAACTTCTGCATTTTGTTTTAGTAGCTTCAGGTTGTATCCTGATGCTACAAATTGAAAATCTCTTTGGCTGATCTCCATAATATTGTCCAACATTTTCTTTTGGAACTGAAAGAACAAAATGTAAATCAAAACAACTCATGTTTAACCTCGATTTCAATAGTCTCTTCAAGCACAACATAGCTCAGGTAAGACAAGAATGCGAGCAGATAAACAGCCAAAGTTGTCCAAAAAGCAACACAAACTGTCATTACGGGGAGTAATCACCACCTTTTTATTGCAATAACATAACAGAAATCCCAAAGAACTAAACACTAAAACAGCTACCGGATTCCCTACATAAAGCTAAATAATAACATTTTTCTTCTTCACTTTCTCTCAACCATCTAAATGTACTTAATAATTAATAAATTAAAACCAAAATCCTCCCCCTCCCTACAAAATCCTCCAACCAAAGAAAGGGTAAGGCTAATACAAATTCAGTACAAATTCCAAGAAATCAAATACCGCCATTCACCAGCCGAGCATTTCTCATAACAAGATTGACACAATGGAACTCTGAAATCCTTACGCACTAACATAATTAGTCATACTTTAGTTAATCATCATTACTTCTAATTCTCTCATAATGAAAGCAACAAAGACAACCATAAATGCGTAGGCCACCAATCTAATAACTAAGAACTAAGAAAGAAACAAAAGAGAAGTTAAGAACGAAGAAGAAACATCTGCATTGTATGCACATAGTTTCATGCAAGCATAAATAACCTGAAACATATGCAGATTAGGAAGATAAGAGCTGGGGCATTACATATCTACATTTGCGGGCGCTAAGAATGCTGTGGGGACTTACAAGAGGGAAAAGGCGTGTGCGATAAAAGGAGAAACCATGAAGATTTTCACCCACTCCGAGATTTTGAGGATGGGATTTCTCGAAGAATGTTTACTGAAGTAGCTCTGTTTTCCAGTAGTGTGCTTCATGTGATGTTTATGTACAAAGGGGGCGGACGTAAGGCAAAGGGTAGAGGAGAATGGAATGGAAGAATTGGAGTCCGGAGAAACGACACGTGGGAGTCGGGGGAAGCACAGTGATCTCCCCGCCGTCCACGTGCCCGAAGGAACATCGTACGACACACCACACTCCTCACGGCTCAGGTGACCACCTGATACGACCTCTGTCTGTTTGGATTGAGGTGTTTTTTTTGCATTGGATTGAATGTTAATAAAATATACGGAGTACTAGTATACATTAATCATATTTTTTATATATCAATTTAATAAAACATTAATTAAATCTGTAACTAATATTTTGCTTTTATTTTTTTCTCAGAAAATTATGAAATAAAAAATACATATATCGATTTAAAATATAAATATCATTGAATATTATTTTTACTTTTTTCGGCTAATATAAATTGAAATGGGATCAAGAAAAGTTTGATATTAACCCCGTCTCATTGATTGTTTCTACTAGTAACTAATGTTAAAGTATTTACTAATCGTCACTTAGAAACAGGCCAACATTAATATAGAGATATGTGTAGGGAAGATTAATAATCAAGAAGAGAAGTTTAAGAAAAGAACTCGCAACATACATTCGATCAACAAGCTTCAAGATAGCAAAACCAAATAAAAGAAGTTTACTCCTCATTTGAAGTCTAAATATGCTTAGAAATATAAAGAAAATACGAATCTAAACTGAGTTTAAGTATATGAAAGAATGAATATGTAAACTGTATGGGAAGGAAATTAAATGAGTGCTTTTGTAGTAGTTTTGGGACTTCTAGGTCAGATACCCGACCGGGTATCCGACGCAGAAGCAACAAAAGTACTGAAATCAAGTCATATCTGATTGGGTGTGTCAATATACCCGGCCGGGCATATGATAAAATCTAATTATCCTATGTTCTCTTACTTTATTTGACCTTGTATATTTGTGTGTTGAATCATACCCGACCAGGTATTGATTATACTTGATTGGGTGTATGATCAAATCAGATTTCTTGAATGATGTTTTGCTCCCTTGTACCTTCCTTTTGTCCTTTATCATCTCTTCCATGATCCTTTGTTGATCATTGATTGATTCTTACTCAGGATTATTCTAAAGTTATCAAATTACCACAAACTAGGAAAATAAAAAGTTGCACCGAAATGTATAATATAATTACTACAACAACATACAGTAAACACTACTTAAAAGTGAAAGCATAAACATGGAAAAACTAACACAACCAATGCTACTAAAGGACATATATGTGAAGGGGGCAACTAAGGAGGAGGCGGGGGTGAGATGAGGCGGCGAGAGATGGAGAGAAGGGTTACGTTGTAGACGAGGAAAACAGAAATGGATTGAGAGAAGAGAGGGGACTGAGAGAAGACATAATATCAGGAGACGGACAGATGAGAGAGGATTATTGGGTAAAGCGGGGCGGGTAGGTATTAAGATGAGAGAGATATTAAAGGCATTTAATATTAAAGAGATTTCAAAAATAGAAGTGTGAAGTTCAATATGAGACACCTCGAGAAGGAAATTAAAGTGAGAACTTAAATATGGGATGGACGGAGTTTTAAAAGTGCAACAATAATAAAATGTACAAAAAAGAGGGGTTGAAGTTTCACATATATGAATGTTTGTGAGCGTGTGTTTATATATTCAATTCAATGTATACATCAACATACAAGTAAAAGATAAAGAAACTCAAAATCATAGGGTATTTTCTCAACAATGGTTGAGGCTTTGCCACCACCATGAATGCCCCTGAAGCATTCAACCATTGACTTTCTGAGAGATCCTGATGTGGGTAGCTGCTCACACACCCACTCAAGCAATGAATCCAAATCATCTGCAAAATTGTGCATGTTTCTTAACATTAGCTCCGGGAACGCAATCTTCTTGGCACTCTTTCTCACAATCATTGAAGCTTGTAAATACTCCAACTTTGATTTTTCGAGCTCCGCCATCACCCCCTCTGCTGAGTATATTTTCACCTACCAATTAAATTAAATATGTATTCAATCATATATACAAAGTACTTGTATATAATTTTATTTTTACTCCAGGGGGTGTTTGGGGGGGGGGAGTTGGGAGTCTGAAGTAAACTGGGCTGAAACCCAATTTATTGAGTTTCAAACCCGAGATCTCTCATAAGGGAGAGTGATGAGTCGGCGACCAGCGGAACTGGACCGCTTCCTCTGTGTGTGTGTGTGTGTGTGTGTAGTTTAATACTTCATGCTAATTAATACGGAGTAGTAAAGTTATACATAGGTGAAATATGACTTTTATATGGGATGAATTTTTCTTAGTACTCCATAACATAATTTAGTATACTCCCCAATAAGTTTTGTAAACATGAGACTATTAAATAACATGATTTAGTATGGACTTACGGCTGGTGAAGAACGAGTTCCACAACATAACGCGAATATGGTGTTAGGATCAAAGGACTCGAATCCATAGAACCCTGGGATTGTGTTTCCCTTGTCACCTTTGTTATCCTTAATAGAAATAATAATATATGATCCTAAGTAAATAAATATATAAAAATATGATCTAAGCAAGGATTATTGTGAATTACACAGCATATCCTTAGGTATGAATTATTATCATTTATTAATATATGTTACCTCTTTTTCTAGTGAAGACATTAATGAGTTTCTCAAGATAGCATGCTCAATAGCTTGTGCATTGATCACATAACCTCCGATGTCTAATGTTGCCTGTATTAATTATGTATACATTAGCCCACATAAAATAAGCTAATTAGCAATTAGAGATTATATATAGTATTAGTAGAAGGGAATCCTTTGGATGTAGAATAATTCCAAACTAATATCATGTGTTTGGGCTATTATTAGTATGTGAAAATGTCTAAGGAGTATGTCAGTTTGTTCCCGAAGGAAAACCTTACTAAGATTAATAATAGACATGATGCAACAAGTCATCTCAAATCCTAAATGTAGAGTCTACAATCACTCTCTAAATCTTGTGTTTATTTGGATATTTCTTACTAGCATCTATATGTGGAAGGGAGGCCAATCCAAGCATTGTACCTCCCGATGGATGAAAAAAAACTATTGTTAAAGTGTGAAACTTTTATTATAAAAATTTATATGAATAGATTATATTATTGACATTATGATATACTCCGTATGTAGTATGACTATTAGGCTATCTCACAACGATCACCTATAAAGATATCTACTACTCAAAAGGAGGGAGAAAAATGAAGAGAGAGAAGCTCTTCCATCTCTCTAAAAACAATTCAGTCAGATCCTAAATGTGCTTATGGGACTCCGGCAACCTCACAGCCGGGAAAAGCGGCAACCTCACAGCCGGGAAAAGCTACGTTACCATGAAAATTTTAAGTACACACGGGGAACTTCCCCTAGAACCAGCTATTGGAACACCACCTATGGGAATCCAAACCAAGAATTCTGGAATTATCACTCCAGGTTCTCGAGCGACAGAAGCACAAAGAAAGGAACACTTCCTTCCAGACCAGGTATTTCTCTCAATCAATACTCTGAGCCGATAGACCGGAACAACACCAGGCAACACCAAAATAGAAGGATTCGGTCACCTGAATATCACTCCAGCTCTTACCCTTCAGAGCCGGTTAACTGCAACTGCACCAGGGGTTACACACACAATTACCGGACTCCTGCGTATCACACCGGGCAACACCCATTAGGCAACACCCATACAAGGGATTACACACAAGAGTATTGGAACCCCCCAGCCCGTCCTAAAGCTCGAATCAGCTCCGTGTGGGACCGAAATTGCGCTCATCCGCGTCACCTGATACGGCCACATCAACAACATCCCCCAATCCACACAAAGAAACCTGAAGAGGGGTGGCGTTTGGTCAAATACAGGGGACGGCGACACCTAAATTACCCCTCTCTGAGTATCTCGGCATCCGTACAACCGATTTCAGAGAACAATAAAGGAGCAAGTAGCGCAAATCGCTACCGAAGTTTAAGAATCGACCCCGACGAATCTGAGGTCGAATCAGACTCTCCGCCCAGTTTCTATGATAGTCCGGGACTAAACAACACTGCGCGTCTCAAACCTGAGAGACGAATCAAGAGCGACGGCCAAATACGAAGGCCGGAAAACTCTTCTTCGGTGCCTCCGTTGGTCTCACCACCAGGACCAGCGGCTTTCAAGCCAACAACCGACAACCTGTTTGGAGATGACACTCAATCCATTGGCAAAGCCAAACGCACATGGGCTGAGCTGCTCAAAGGCGGTACGGAGAATACGGACAAGAAGGACGAGCCTGAACTTGTCTCAAATAATATCCATGCTTCGTCGATTGCTATAAGTCTCTATTCGGGCCAGGCTGGACTCCAATCAGTTGACCGAGCAGATATATCTGACTTTAAAAAATTGGACGATAAGGAAAGGGCCACAACGGATGTAATCGAGGAAGCTACGGATCTACTCAATGCCAGTGAAAAATACTCTTTTTTTGGTGAATCAGGGTTTGACTCGGTCAAAATTGGAACTACATATTTTAAATTTGTAGTTAAAAATAGAGATTTGGTTCTCTTCCAATTTAAAAAATCCCTTCTGCATAAAATTCACCTCAACCTTGATGAAGTCCCAGAAATCATCAGATTCGTTTACCAGCTCCCAAATACCGCGCATGAGAATTTTGAGACCAAAAAGAGATTTGGAGATCTCACGATTTCTGTGGAAATTAACAGAGCTCGCTACTATGTAAAAATGGCAAAACACAAGGGGTGCTTCATTCGGATACCCATGGGATGCCATTACTCGAGCCTTTTTATATTCCTTGATATTTTGTCTAATTTTCTAGGGCTCTCAAAGACGGTGCAGGACGACTCATTATCTCTTCATCATAGGAGTGTACCACAAACCGAAGACCCCACATCCATATCCAAACTCATTTTCAACTATCAGATCCAGACGGCAGATGCTGAAAAAACCAATGTCTTCTCCTTTGGGAAACAACCCGAGCTACCATTGAACCAGGCTTACTCAGATGCATCCGATGATTTTGACCATTCTGATGACTCACTCGATCTTTACAGATGACTTCTTGGGACATGCAACCGAGAGCGATCGGCGTCCTCCTATCTCATACCCAGAAGAAGTTTGGAAATCCAAATTCAATACAGCGATCTGCCGCAAAGCTACTTTCATAACCTCAGAAAATTGCCTGCCAACCGAAAATTTGAACACGCAGCTAAAAATCTACAGGAAATCTCAAAAAAACAAAAGGCGCCACAGCATGACAACTAGGTCGCAGTCTAGAGATTTCCCATGGGATTAGCTATCTTGCTCTTTCAGTAATGATTTTTCTTTTAATTTTGTAATTTTTTCTCTCTTTTTCGTTCTTGTACTTTTTTTCCCCTTTCACGCATTGTACTCTTTATTTATATCAATAAAATCTTCTTTTTTCAAAAAAAAAAAAAAAAAAAAAAAATAAAGATATCTACTACTAAAAAAAAGTCTTGAATTACACTTCATATCAACTTGAGAGATAGAATTCTAAGACTTAATTTGATATAAGAGTAAATTAAGCTCTACACCAACGAACTAGTCACCATATTAAAGTTATGAGGAATTTGACTTTACATCCCATTTTTTTATTAATATTTGATTTTGGACTATCTTTCTAAATCATTAATAATATATGCACCCCAATTCACTAAAAAATCATTTGATTTTACATCACACTCCTTCACAATTTTTTGACCGATGGAGTACATACATTAATGATTTTAAAAGTGGGATTTGAAGTACAATCACCCAAAACATGGAGTGTAAAGTCGAATTTTCCCTTAAGGAGATATAACATCATAGCATGACACCTTCAATTTTAATTTCATGGGCACCAAAAAAATAATGTTCTGCTCCATTAAAAAAAACAATGAACAAAACATTTAAAAAATGTTCTGTAATGTACATTATATGCACCGTGACTTGCCTTGTTTAGAAGTGATTTTAGTTTTTCCGGGGTAGAACTAGATGGAACTCCATATTGAAGAAATCCCTGGAAACATTGCATTATATTTGCATATGCATGAGTGAGAATTACGATCACATATTACTGTTCAAGAAATAATGATATTACTAAAGGGAAATTTGACTTTGTATCACGCTTTTGAGTGATATTTGATTTTACACGCACCTTATAAGTACATTTTTTTTTAAATTAAAGAATGATGTGCAAAGTCAAATGATTTATAGCGAAATTGAGTGCACGCATTAATGATTTTGAAAATGAGGTGTAAAATTCAATATCACTCAAAACATGCAGTGTAAGATCAAATTGACTTATTAACACACATCTTCACCCAATTAATTATTATCATACATACATGCATGATACAAGCATTGTACATGTTGATCCAGAATGCTAACTTCTGTTGCCGTGTCAAAAATCTCAAATCCACCTTCTCTAAATTCTTTATTAAAATCCTAACATGAAAAAATTGCACAAAGTTATTATTCAAGCTTCAAATATTAATGTATGATCAATTAAGTCTATGTTTGAATACCAAACAGAAGGTAAAGACTAAATGAAGTAGACTTTTTGGCTAATCGAATTAGAGGCAATTATTTGGAGTTAGATAAAAGTTAGTGAAAGTGAAATGCCACCTAAATGAAGTAGACTTTTTGGGTAATTAAACATCTAAAATAACGTCTAAGAAATGTAAAATAACTCTGACTATTAGGGTCCAAAGCGCTGAAATTAGTAACGTTTTCAAATCAGGTGATTTTTTTATTTAGTTTATTTCCATTTCAGGTCTTCACCCAAACAAGGCAACATTGAAAATAATTTTATAAATTGATTAAATTGAGCTGAAATGATCATTTAAACATAGCCTTGTCATACCTATTTCTGCATATGTTCAAATATTTTAAGTTCTCTTTGTTAGTGTCTTAAAATAATTCTCTTAAAATATCTTAAAATTGTTAAGCATATAGCTGATTTATAATTTAAAGTACTTAAAATTATTAAATTATCTTTCTTAATAATCTAACTATATATGAAGTATTAAGAATAGTAAGTAGTACTTAATTAAAAAATAACCGACTAAATAAAAATTTAATGGAAAGCTGGTTTGCAGCGAAACTTGGTTTATGAGGTGTGTTTTGTTTTGGTAGTTAGATGGAGGCAGGAGTTAGGTGAGTTGGGTGACAAGAACAACAATTTGATCATTGTAGGCTTCATGTTCTCCACTATGTGGTTACCTGTGTTTATTTAAAAGAGAATGATTCTATGTCTAATCCTAGGACTTCTAATAATAGGATTGCGAGTATCTCTCCAGCTGATATAAGTCTTTTTCATTAAAAAGACAACTAATAATGTGGAAGCTAATTAATATGGGACAAACTAACATTAAAGGAGTGTGTATAATAACATTAGAGGCACATTGATTTATACATACTTGAGCTTTTGGAACAAAGGAGCTGAGTTAGAGGTTGAGATGCATTTGGAGTCCAGAGAAGGCGAGGAGAACTTGACCAAATTCTTGTAAGGGCCAATATCTCTAGGGATAGAGTCTTCCGAGTCGAAAATGGAATAAGGGTCCTGCTGTCTCCAGTCTTTCTGCATTGCAGCAAGAGTGCTGGACGGTTGATCAGTTCGAAAAGCCAAGGAAAACTTGTTGGAGCGAGCTATCGTGCCCGACTTCTCCATCTCCATTGCCCTTGAAGTTCTCAGCAGTCTCACGAAAATGGAGACCAAGCATTTCATTATGCTCTCCGAGAGCTTATTGGGAGGCCATCTTTGCGTGGTTTCCTCCAATGGGTGAAGGGGAGAAATCATCACTTTTGGAGGGAGATCTGTTGTTAAGCCCCTGGGAATTTCCATGTTAGGTTCCCTCTGCCATAATTTAGGGATGGACATGAAAAACTGTATAGTAACGGATAAACTGTATTGAATAACCGTTAAATCGTCTTTCTTTTGATAACCGTATCGCGTTTTTAAAAACGTATGATATAGTTAACTGGCCGAATGAAAAGAGATTCACGGTACAGTTACCGTTTTAAAACTAACATTCCATTGGTTAACCGATAACCTAAAGATTTGCACCGAATGTTCTCTTCTGTGTGATTCCTACTATAGACGTGTTATGTTTTTACCTACGGAGTACTTCGTATTAGGATGTTTTTACTTGGACTGTAATTTGCTGGTCTGGTCTGGTCTGGTCTGGTCTGATCTGGTCTGGTTTGGTCTGAACTGGTCTGGTCTGGTCTGGTCTGGTAAGGTCTGGTTTCTTTGTATTTTTATAACTATCCAAGTCTGGTCTGGTCTGGTTTGAACTGGTCTGGTCTGGTCTGGACTGGTCTGGTCTGGGACGGTCTGGGACAAATTACAGTCCAAGTAAAAACATCCTTAGTTATCATTTTTTGACATAAATTTATTTACATAATAAAATATGGGAAAATTTGACTTTGCACTCTACTTTTGGATGATATTTGAATTGACACCATATTTTCAAAATCATTAATAACATGCACCCCAATTTAATAAGGAGTATAAAATTATTTGACTTTGCACCCCATTCATTCGCAATATTTGAGCTAATGGGGTGTACAAATTAATAAGTTTGAAAATGAAATACAAAGTCCAATATCATCTATAACATGGGGTGCAAATTAAATTTAAATTCTCCCTAAAAATATTCATTTGATTTTATTTGAATTGTTATTGAAAGCATATTTCGGGATCAGAAAAGATTAGAAGTTCATTCCAAAAAATGTTGGGAGATTGTCATCGCTAGCGTCAACTTTTTCGCCGGAAATAATCCATTCCAGTGATAAAGTTTACAACTTGCACGAGTGAATACAAACAAAATTTAGGTGCAATAATTAGTAATTAAAGGTTAGGGGTTGCGGTTGGTTACGACTTGAAATGTTATTAGAGAACAATCAATTCGAGAGTAACAATATCTATTTTGTATCATATCTTTGATAGTCATTTGACGTCTTACTACGTAAGAGCTAATTGTGAACAATTAAATCGACTCTCAGCTTACAACCAATAGATGATTGCCAAACACCCCGTGTTAGTGTATTTATTAGTGTAACTATTAATAATTGTCCATTAATTACTCAACTACCACTTACGCTGCGGTTAATTTGGCGAGGTTCACGTAAAAGTGAAGCTTGAGGTTTGATAATGGCACGTTTCATTGGAGCTCTCTCACCAAAGATTCTAACTTCTTCATCATTATTACACCATAAATGATGCTTATCCTTCTCCTTAATGGCTTTGCTAATAAAGTGTAATGCCTTATTAGTCTCAAATGGAAACCCTTCTTTGCTGTTATTGTGGAATAACAAAGATGCATTATTCTTCAATCTACTTGACTCCAATAATTGTTTTGATTTTATGGTGAAGAGGTCCTCTTCCTTCAAATTTTCCTTCAGCTCCCTTATTTGGGTCTCTAACCGGCTTATCTCTCTTTCCACCAAAACCAGCTCACCCAAAACCTCCTTCGTCTGCAATTTATTTTGTAATACTAGATCATCAGATCAACTAAAATTTTGTTTATTGTTTTCTTATAATATTATTGTAAGGGTATTTATTTATGCATAAAAGTACAATTATAGCTACCGCCTACTTTTGTACATTTTCTTCAAGTTTAATGCACCAAACAATTCAGTCATTTCAGTACATAAACCGATTTTGAAAATTATGATTACCCCTTATAGTTTGATCATAATTATTAGTTCAACCTTATATTTTTAAAAGCCAACTATTTACCCTCTCAATTACGATTACTATTGTAATCTCCCCCTTCTATCAACATTTTAGTCAAATGCCTATTTCTTTGACTAAAATAAACTTGTTTAAGATTATTTGTTAAATCCTCTCATCTACGTAGTAGGGGTGGGTACGGTCTGGTCCAATCCAATATTTTGCTGAACTCGTACCCGTATCGTGACTATTGAAACTGTTTGGTTCGATCTTAGACCTAAATCTGTTTGGTATGGTTCTATTTCCAAACGGGACAGTACCATATCATACTAATACAAAAAAAAATCATTTTTGTAAGTGTTTAGGTGAAAGTTAAAGTTTAGAAATCCTCCAAAAATCCACATAATTTATCAATTTCCATACTCCGTATTACATAATTATTAAATTTCAGATAAACTGTAGTTGTACAAATTTAAACCAGTCATGACATTGTTTAGAACCGGTATAGTCTGGTTCACGACAAAAAATTTGAGATCCATTTCAAGTCCTGTTTTTCGGTCCAGTACCATATCGGTCCGGTTCGATACCATGCCAGTTCTGTATTTTGCCCACCCCTACTTCAAATACACAGCCGAGTAAATTTTCCTTTGATGAATGGGACTACAACTGGGAATTGAAATTGGAGCAGAAAAAAAGAATAACTGAAAGGCACAAAGCACTTTCAAGTGTGCCGCAATAATGATGCTTGGGAAAACATTAATTTTTGTTCGAATACTTTTGGAGTAAGCCTGTGAAACTTTCAGTTGATGTACTCTTATTTTATATTACTCCTGACAAAAGTTCATGTCCGGAATTCCGGACAGGAACCGCCGTCCGGACGGCGGCGTTTGGCCGCCTTCCCGGTGGAATTTTTTGATGAAATTTTTATGGAATGTTCTCCATCAAGTCTAGTTTATCAATAAAAAATTCAGCCAAAAACTCAATCGGGAAGGTTGTCAAATGATTTTTGCAAGTTAACTGGTCCGGAATATGTATTTTCCGGACCAGTTAACTTGCAAAAATCATTTGATGACCTTCACGAATGAGTTTTTGGCTAAATTTTTTTGTGGATAAACTAGACTTGATGGAGAACATGTCATAAAAATTTCATGGAAAAATTCCACCCGGAAGGCGGCCAAACGCCGCCGTCCGGACGGCGGTTCCGGTCAGGAATTCCTGACCGGAAGAGTACTCTATTACTCCTTAGTTTAGTTTAATAGATAAGGACATTTTTGGGAATTCCACTTACAATTAACGGTCCACACAACTTAAATTTAACGGAAGGGGGAAATTCTAACTTTAATAAAAGCTTAAGGGGTAAATAATTCAATTCTAAAAATATAAGGTTGATTTAATAATTATGACCTAACCTCAAGGGGTAATCATTATTTTCCCTTTAAAAAATGCGCCAAATCTCTATTTATAATTATTCATGTGCATAAACCTTCTATTAACAAATTTAATAGTCAAATAAAAGAAAAATGACTAGAGTTTTTGTCTAATTTATTAGAGATTTTGTCAATTTACTGAATTGAATATTCAATCATAATATTAAGAAAGTGGGTTTCAAATTCTTAAATTTGTTCATAAAAAGGGTTCTGTGCATAAATAATAATAACACATGGGCTTTGACGCATTTTCGGGTTGACCTATCTTGTCCGGTCGAGTCCGATTAATTAAATATAGGTTCTAATAGGGTGAGACAGAATATCAAAATACATACCTTTGGAGGAATAAAATTAGGAATGCTGATATCTGAAACATTCTTCAGGTGGTAAACACGATCCAGATATTCCCGCACCTTCTGTTCATGAGTCAGCGTCTTACTAAGATCGCAAACCTAAGATTTAATTAAATATATACATCCACACAAATATCATTTTTCAAATCAAATATAACTATTTAAAAAAAAGTTATTGTCCTAAATAGGACTAAAACAATAAAAAAATTCCAAAATAGGACTTCTTATTAATTTATTACTCAAATGGGAGTTTTAAAGTTGACTGTCCGTTTATTTTTCCGGATTTACCCTCCCACGCTTATTGAATGATTCGCCCCTCACAAGTTGTACGTCACAACTCATACACAACCTTAGTTGTCAGGCACAAAGTCCCAAACCCACCCTCTCCCATCTCTTCCTTCCATCCGACCCATCTGTCTGCTATCTTTTTTTTTTCTCTCAATTGATTGAGTATTTACGACTAAGAAAGCTTGGATTTCAAAGGTGGAAGCCATACTCCCCATCTCCGACGACCGACTTGTCTCTCCAGATCTCTTTGCCGGTCGGCCATCCTTGATTTTTTGTCTCTTTTGCACTGTGACTCCGATCATGTGTCATAACTCCGGTGATATACCGGTCTTGTTTGGTAAGTATCTTCCTCCTTCTCTTCCATCCTTTTCTCCCTCATCTTCTTCTTCTCCTCCATGTTCATCTCCGTCATCTTCGTTCCTCTGTTTTCTTCTCTTACAATTTTTCTATTTTCTATTGTTTCGTGTGTTTAATTTTTAGATTCAAAATGAGTTCGAAAGATTTCCAAAATTTATTATATGAAAATTTCAGATCTGACTTTAACAAATGTCCAGTGATTTAAAAGAAATTGAATCTGGTTTTTATTATTAAATTTAGTTTTTTATTTTAAAGTTTTCAATTTACTGAATGTAGATCTGAAAAATCTACACGTAATGTTTATTTTTGGAAAACAATGTTGTTTTCAACTTTTCATGATATTACATGTTTGACAAATAATTCCATTTTGCATGTATGAAGTTGGCATTAACTACATGAAGATGACAATATTGCTTGAATATGTTAGGCAATAATGCCATATTTATGACTATTAATGTCATGTATTTTTTACATACTAATTACATAAAGATGGCAATATTGCTTGAAAATGTTAGGCAATAATGTCATATTTATGACTATTAATGTCATGTATTTTTTACAAAATGGCATTATGCTTTTAACATGACATTAAATAATATTTCACTAGAATAATTTTGGTGTTGGTGTATGAGATCTCAGCAGTCCAAGCAGAGAGCGTGACGGCACTGGAAGACTAGGCGGATCCATACGAGGACTCGCCGGAGGGCGGCGGCGGCAGATAAAGACTTGCTGAGAGAGGCGGCGGATTAGGCGGCTCCGGCGATGGCTCCGGCGATGGCTCCGGCGTCCGGCGGTGAAGGTAGCGGGCGGCGGCGGCGGGCGGCCGCCAACAGTGGCGGCACATGAGATTGGTGACAATCCGCAGCACATCCGGTGCAGTTATATAGCTGTGTAATTTTTTTGTATTTTATTTATATGTATGTAGCATTACTAAATAAGACAGACTTTCATTAAGGGTTCATTAAGGGTACTTTTGTCTACTCATTTAATTTTAGTCTTACGGAACATTAAGGTCCTGTTTTTGCAATTTTATGAACTTTTACTCCTAGTTAGGGAATTATCTCTTTAAAAAAAATCAAATATAACTACTATACGTGCTATCTAGATCGAATTCAACATGTATTAAAAGTTGAAAGTTTATGTTTAGTCATACTCGGTATAATATTGCTCAAATATTAAAAAACAATACATGATCAATTATAAATTCGTTTATAACATTGAAGCCAAATTCTTGATAGTTTTATACTCCATATATAATCTTATAACTTTACGTTGAAGCTAAGCCAAAGTACTACGGAGTAATAGTTTTATATATAATCACGGCACTATCTATAATTCGACATATTTTCAGAGGATGACGATAAAAATTACGGACTCAATTAATTACATGAACAAAGTACGACTGAAATCGAAATGAGAAAGAAATCAAATCAATATATGTATCGTTAGGTATAAGCATCCAATTCAGAAAGAACATACGTAGTACATTATTGTATACGAGTATCAATTATATATAGGGATTGAGAAAGCAAGTAAATTAAGATTCAACATTCCAGTATGGTAGTCTACCCATACGTACATACAGTAGACTAATAGGATGATTAAGCCAAGGAAGGCTGACAATATATTACTATGGTATATATGATGGTCCATGCAGAATAACATTAATGGAGCAAAACAAGCTGTATAGTACTCAGGGGTGGAGACAGGGGTGGCTGGCGGGGGCCATGGCCCCTGCAAGAAAAAAATTGTGATGTATATATATATATATATATATATATATATATATATATATGTATAAATATTTATAAGTAGTAAAAATATAGTGAAAATTTAAGTTTTGGCCCCTGTTATATAAATTCTTTAAGCCCCGGCCCCTGTAACATGTAAATCCTGGCTCCGCCACTAATAGTACTCTAGGGTGAGTCCATGACCACACCCATCATGCACCTATATATGCCATATAAATTACCCATTGCTCCCAGATTCATTTGCAAAGTCAACATTTTTTCGTCAACCAATGTTAAAGTCAAACCCTCATTATTGATAATTCACTCAATTTTTAATAATTACAATTTACATATTTGGAAACCACATTAAAATCTCTTCAAAGTTGCAAACTCCAAATTAGAATATAATTAAAAATTGACATTTTTAATAATTACAATTTACATATTTGGAAACCACATTAAAATCTCTTCAAAGTTGCAAACTCCAAATTAGAATATAATTAAAAATTGACATTCTAATTAAGTTAATAAAATAAAACTGTTTGATTAGGAAAAGTCAATTTTGCAAATCAGAAGATTCCTATATTATTATAATAATGATGCATACGAAATACTCCGTATATTGTTTTTTGCCAAAAAAATATAAATATTGTTACGATGTATTTTGGGATCTGCCCTATTTGATTGTTTGTGAACATTTTATGGGAATTTTCCGAGCCAAGGGCGTTTGTTAATTAACTTCAGTTAAGGTTTGGGTATTATCCGATCTGAAATCCGTGTCAAATTATTTAATTTGGCATGCCAGTAGTGGTTGGAATTCTTCATCTGAGCCAAATCCGATCCAAGTCCGTTCGACTTGGAATATTTTTACAATGGATTTTGAGCCTAAGTCCGTGCCTAATGCGACATTTGTAGTAGTGTTTGTGAGGAATTATATGAACATCTCTTTCAAAAACTTCTCAATATAAGGGCAAAAAAAGGGGGTGGTCATGTTATTTCCTAAAAACGAGTAAGAAATTTCATCCTCAAATCATTAGTTACACTCTGTTTAACTAAAAAACAATACTATACTTAAGATAACCACATTATTTATACTCCTAGCACAACGTCACCTCATCTCTAAACTTAAGAATAGTTGGAACTTGGAAGGGGAGAAAACTCAAGAGCGGCAAGGATTAAAGATGTTACATGAAGAGTAGTTGCAAATTTACAATTGTGAATTGGTGATTACGTAAGGAATTGATTAGTTTAGTCTTTAGGGGTGTTTGGAAAATGGCTTTTCAGCCAAAAAAAGGTTTGACCACTTTTAGCATTTTCAATAAATGAAAAATGTTGTTTGGTAAATATTTGTTTGACCCTAGCGTTTTTGGACAGAACCATTATATTGAAATGAAAACGCTGCAAATAGGATGATTTTGAGTTAGCGTATTGAATTCTACTGGCCAAACAGCTAAATTACCAAACATCTTTTGCCAACCCGCCAACTTATTCCGCTAGTCAAACCCGCTGACGGAATCCGCTATTGACATCCCGCTAACATAACCCACTATCCGCTAAATGTCAAACACCCCTTTAATTTGTTGCACTAGTTACAATGTTAATCTTTTATTTCACATTTCTCTCTTCACTTATTTTGGATTGGCTTCACTCTCGGATCAAATTAGATTAGATAAAATTTAAACATATCAGATTAGATCAGACTAGAGAGAGGACGTACTACAATAGTATTGTAAAATATATATACAATAAATTTATTAGGTGAGAATGAGAGGAAACCAAAAAAATCAACACAAATAAAAACATCATAGTAGATCTCATTTCATTTTAAACAAGATTCATGCATGCAGTGGACCCTTCAATTTATCATACAAACCTCTCTTTGAAGTTCCTCCCTTCTTAGCTCTCCAGTAGTATTCGTCATTCTCTACCGCATAAATAACAGAGGTGCAGTGCATGAATCATATTTACATGTTATTATATCAATATAGATAGTAGATGAGATGGATCATATATCACTTGGATTAGAAGCAAGAAAGGTTTGGGGCGGGAGTGGCTTTAATTTTGGTCCAAGCTAAAAAGCTGGTAAGTATGGAATGGGATGGTGGAAGGGAGCTTTCGAAGTCGGGCATGTCTAATTATTGGCTGTACGTTAGTTGTGGGTGGGAATGGGAGGGGACATCATTCTATCATGATATTATATAGGTAGATGCTATCGTAGCATACCTTTGTTCACATGGACCAATGAGAATGTAGCAGTTGAATTATTTAAATTTAAATTAAAAATGATAAAGTGATGTGGTCCAATCAAATGAATGATAGGTACGGTACCCCATATTTTAGAAAGGTAGCGGAGTTGTCACCATATATCTATACCTATGCTGGCGCCTCAAGACAACAAAAGCAATAATTTAAATTTTGTGACACCTCTCAAAATTATACCCCATAGATCAGTTATAAATTTCCTATCCTTTCAAAAAAATAATGTAAACATAGTAAGCACAATGTCAAATAAAGAATAAATATACCTTTTTGTACGTACACACTTTTACCGTTTTACACACTTTTACTTGTTTGTTAAGCTTTTTAGTCTGTCGCGGAAAAAACATGTTTTGTCTTCACAGGTAGTGTGTACAAGCGTGTAAACAGTAAAATGCATACAACAAGAATTGTTGAATAAAAAGAAATACTTTGCTAATATATCAAAATTGAGGCACTAAAAAATAACCCTAATTTAACTGGCTCTCCTTATGGTACCTCAGACTCTCATAAATTGCCCGTTTTATAATATCAAAATCTACTGTTTTAATTATTAGTACGGCTGTTTCATAAAGATTAAAAACAGTATGATATATAGAGTCATATTTAATTTTATAAATGTTTCTCGATATGTACACCAAATTTGGGTTGTGATACCCGGCATTAACCTAATATTATTACAAACTAATGTTTTTCAATCGGTCAATTAAATATAAAAATTTTAGGTAACACTTTTCATTCTTAATGATTGTCAGAACATGGCAAATTATATCGTGCAACCGGCATACCATGCCCATGGTATGCCAGGTCTGGTAGAACACCGTTTACATAAATAAAAACAAGCCAGCCCGCTGCTCTATTTCCTCTCTGCAAGTCTGCCGATTGCCATCATCGTTTTTCTCCATCACCGTCCGACCGATTCTTAATTACAAAGAATTGAGATCGTGGTTGCTGAACGAGATCAGAGAATGAAACGCAGATCTATCATTGACTTATTAGAAATCTTCATTTGTTAATAACAAGGTCCTAAAGCTATGTCGCTAACCAGGCGCACAACCTTGTTGTCAACGGTGATTGTCGGTCGTTATTATATTATACTTGTACAATACAAGGAATCCTTTTTGCCGTATTATTGATTATCCTTCTCTACCGCCTTGATATATGGCTTGATCACAATCACAAATACAATTTCTATTTTATACTTAGTATTTCTTTATTTCTTATGTGCGAGTTACATCTTTTTATACGCAAGTTACATCTTCTTATATGCGAGTTAAATCTTTGTAAAAGATATTTACATTTGAAAAGTCTAAAGTTACATATCCCAAGTTACGAGAGTAAGTTACATTTCAATTGAAGCAATTTACATTTCAAAGAGTATATGTGAATGAGTTTCATTTCATTTTCATTTACCCCAGTACCCCACTTACGGTGGGGTAAGGGGAGGTCGGATGTACGCAGTCTTACCCCTGTACTAAAGCACAGAGAGACTGTTTCCAGATGACCCGTGGTGAATTACATGTGAATGAGTATAGAATTTACATTTTGATTAACTTGAAGTTACATGTGGAATCATACGAGTTACATTTCATATAGTCATGGGAGCATGGTGCTCACCATGCACCGGTTGCACGGTATACGGACTGTCAGAACATGTATCAAAATTGTTATACTATATTCTGATTTTTCATTTATGGAAAATGACGTGGTTAATATCGATGGTTTGTTTCTAAATAATTGTTTGCTTCACAATTTCGATTTATCATTATATTCATGCTCCATACTCCATAGTACATACAACACAAAGGCATGAACTCATGAAGGGAAAAAAAATTGAAGTAAATATTTTCACACTTCGATTTGACTGATTAAGAAGTTACTATGTGTTATGATTTACTTCGTATTATTTAAGATACTCACATGATCTGATAAATATGGAAAAACTTGCAACACAGTCACCATATAGAAATAAATATACAAAATAAAATATTACTCCCTCCGTCCCAAAAGATTGGATAATTTGACTTTTCTAGTTCGGTCAATGGTGTCAAAATTTAGACAATGATTTTAGTTATTATATTTATGTGTAATTTATAAATTTTATACTTTTATGAAATATTTTAAATAAAGAATATACTCATATAATTTTCATATTTTATATAATTTTGTATTAAAAAATATCATTGGTCAAACTTTATCATCATGAAGCAAGAAAAGTCAATTTGGTCAATCTTTTTTGTATAGAGGGAGTATCATTTAAAAGACCAATTGTATTAATAGGTAAAAATACCCGGGTATTCAATAGTTCTATATCTTCATATTTAGGGATACAAATTATTTATAAAGTAGTCATCACACGAAAGATGATATTAATTGTATAGTCTTAATCACACGAAAAAGGGGAAAACTGTCAAATAGGTCCTCGAACTTTCATAAAAAGGTCAATTAAGTCCTTTTATAGGAGGTTCTGTCCGTACGTCGCGATTTGGGGAAGTTCCCGATGGAATTTTTGATGAAAGTTTTTGAGCATCTTATTCACCAAGTCTAGTTTACTCATACCAAATTTCAGCTAAAAATTCAATCGGGAACACATTCAAATTAATTCTTGAAGATAACTGCGCATTTTTGCGTTCTCGAATTAATTTGAATGCGCTCCTGATTAAATTTTTAGCTAAAATTCGGCGTGAGTAAAATAGGCTTGATGAATAAGATGCTCAAAAAATTTCATCAAAAAATTCCACCGGGAACCGCCCCAAATTGCGACGACCGGACAAAGTCTCCTATAGAAGGACTTAATTGACTTTTTTATGAAAGATCGAGGATCTATTTGACAGTTTTCCCCGTGAAAAAATCAATATCAGTAAAAAGTTTATAGTAAATTTAGGAATTTCATGAAGATTAAATTAAAAAAGTGATAGGGGATAACGATAAACGTAAACAATATGAAAGAGGAGAAGAAAAGAAAAAAAAAAAGTAGAAAGAAATAAAGAAAGAAAAAATTGTGAAAAGTAGGAAAGAGGTTGAGAAAATGTGAAAAAGTAGAAAAGAAAATATGAAAAAGTCAGATAAAAATTCTAAAATATGGAAATGTTACAAACAATAAAAAGTTCTAAAAAGAAACATGTGAAAAGTAAAAGATAACACATAGTATTAATTAGTACTAATGGCTTATTAGTATCCAAATATAATATGAGAGAGATTGAGCAAGTTATGAGAAGATGATAGTGTTTGTGCATGTCTTTCTGGATTATTTGAGAAGAACCTCACTTGATTATTACTCTAATCTCTCAGTGAAAGCAATAAATGATAGATAATTGGAGAGATTTATAGCTAGAGAGAAGATGAGTGTGTATTGTATTGAGTGTGAGTTTTGTCTTAGCGTTACAAGTCTCCCAAGGGGAGTATATATAGAGAAAGAGCGAGCCGTACAGTTAACATGGGCCCGGGGGGCCAACTACATAAATACTAGTCTAATAGATTCAAATGAATATGTGAACTGTACAATAATATAAATAATGGGGGTGTTTCGCAAATGGTTGTTGGCTGTTAGCCGTTGGCGGATTATGATGGCTGATTAATACCGGCAGATTTTATGGCTGTTTTGATCAGCGGATAGTAGTAGCAGTTTGTAAAGTGATGTTTGATTACAATCAACTGATAATTTTTTAAATGACTTTTAGAGACATCAATTAATATTTTATTTACTAACTACTAGCCCACAACCGTTTTGTGATTTACAAAAACTAAAAATATTATAAAAATATTTTATACATAATTTTTAATGTATTGATAAACTAAAATACTTATAACTATCATGAGTTGGAATAAAAAACAAGAACAAAAAACAAATTTAGCAGCAACCATTTGATGAATTGACATAGACTTGTATGCGAGTTGAAATCCATTTATTATTCTCTCATAGCATCACAACATCAATTTGGAGGAGCTTTGTTCGTTATTTTTGTCCATACAAAATAATTAACAAAACAACTGTGTAGTCCATCATTACTTAGTTGAAAGAGATAAAATAAAAAACGCAAATCATTCAAGAGGGAGTACAGAGATTGAGCAAACGTGGAGAGCAAAAGTATGAAGTTTTTTTGTTGAGAAGAAGGATGGTTCGTTACGAGTAGAAAAAAAGGGAGGCAAATTAGGGGGTGTTTGGAACTGATTCTGATTCTGCTTCTTTTTTAAAGTATAAGCAGAATCAGAATCAGTTTTCAGAAGCTGGTCACCCCCAGCTTCTAAAAAAACTGATTCTAGGAGTAAATTAGAGTACCAGAATCACTTCTGCACTTTTACCCAAACACTCCAGCTTCTGCTTCTGCTCCCTGAAGGAGCAGAAGCAGTTTTAAGAATCAGATCCAAACACCCCCTTAGTGAAGGCAAAGGGAGGCAGCATAGAATTATCCGAAGAGAAGGCGTGGCCGCGTGGGTAGATTAGGGAAATTAGGCGAGGAAGTGAATCGGCTAATGCCTAAACGCCAAGTTTTGTGGCATTTTAAAATTTGGCTATTGGGATAAAAAGCTAAATAAAAAAACCATGTAACCAAACACCCTTATTAGCTGATTCATCTGGTCAAACTGCCAAACATTGGTCAAAACAGCCAAAAATGGCTGATAGGCCATTAACCAAACACCCCAATATCCACTAAGCGTATGTAGATTAAGCGTATGTAGACCGCTGTCCAAGCTCAATAGTCATGAGACCGGAGTCTGAGTCTATATACTCTATCAATAAGTACAATAAAAACATATACTGTATTACTATATACAAATACAACGTTTAAATGTAGATATTACGGTCGACATTGTTGAGAAAAACTTCCTATAAACACATAAAATAGTTCAAATAAGGAGAGAGAAATGTCATAAAT